CCCCCAAGGTCTGGTGGGTGACCTTCAGGATTTGGGGGGCTTATGGTTACTGCCCTTTTCTCCTCGGATTTTTTGCCCTTGTACTCTCGCGTTTCCTGCCGTTTTCCCCCTCGATTTAAGGCCTTAAAATGGTGCCAAAGAAGGGGGTTTCCTCGATTTAATCCTTCAAATAATGGAAAAGAAGGTTTGTCCCTCAATTCAAAGCCCTTTTTCCCCCTTTTGATGCACTGAGGAAGGACTGGGATGTACTGGGAGGGACTGAGGGGACTGGGAAAAACTGGACTCAGGTTTTAACAATATATTTATTTAATTCCAGAATTCCTCAGTTTTGAGGTTCTCCACCCCAAATGCCCCAATTTGGGGGGGACCTCCACCTCATTAGCAACCTCCATTAACGAGGCCGGGGAGGGAGGAGTGTACTGGGGGGGAAAAGGGGGCCTGGATCCCCCCTTCTTCCACTCCTCCCCTCCCCAAACCAATGTGGTTCAAACTCATTTCACAGAAATTTGTGGGCAATTTCATTGAAATCAGGAAAAACGGATACGGTGGGGAATCCCCCCATATGGAGGTGTGCCACCCCCATATTCAGGAGCCCCTGCCCCTATGACATCACTCGGTCGTCGGGGGGGACCGGCGGGACCCGCGGCGGCTCCTCAGGAGGAGGCGGAGCTGTGGGGGACGGAGGGGTCAGCGAGATCCCCAAATCCCAGGGTTTGACACCAAAATACAGGGGTGTCACCTGAATGTCCTCGGGTGGGACTCCACGGTTCAGGGATTGTGAAAATGGGGAGGGTAAATCAGCAGGATTTGAGGGTAAAGCAGTGGGATTTAGGGGGTAAAAGAGCAGGATTTGGGGTAAAAAAGCAGGATTTTGAGGCGAGTGGCAGGATTTTGGGATAAAGCAGCAGGCTATAATAGAATATGCTAAGTTGGAAGGGACCAACAAGGATCATCTAGTCCAATTCCTGGCCCTGTTCAAGAGGAGAGACCCCAACAATCCCACCATGTCCCTGAGAGCATTGTCCAAACACTGCTTGCATTCTGTCAGCCTTGGGGCCGTGACCACTGCCCTGGGGAGCCCCAGCCACCCTCTGGGGGAAGAACTTTTTCCCGATACCCAACCTAAACCTCCCCTGGCACAGCTCCAGCCATTCCCTTGGGTCCTGTCACTGGTCACAAGAGTGAAGAGGTTAGTACCTGCCCTCATGAGGATGTTGAAGAGCCCAGTGAGGTCTGACCTCAGACTGAACAAACCAAGTGCCCTCAGCTGCTCCTCATAAAGCTTCTCCTCTGGACCCTTTCTCATCCCTGTGGCCTCCTTTGGATGTTCTCCTTACCTCAGGGTCTTCTCTATATTGTGATGCCCAAAACTGTCCCCAGGACTCGAGGTGAGGCTGCCTCAGTACAGAGCAGAGCCGGACAATCCCCTCCCTTGACTGGCTGGTGATGCTTTGCCTTATGCCTCCCAGGTTGGCCCTCCTGGCTGCCAGGGCACTGCTGACTCAGGGCCAACTGGCCATCGACCGGGACCCCCAGGTCCCTTCCCGCAGCTGCTCTCGAGCCTCTCATTCCCCAGTCTATACACAAAGCCAGGGTTGCCCCGCCTCAGGTGCAGAATCTGGCACTTGCCCTTGTTAAACTTCACTCAGTTGGTGATTGCCCATCTCTCAGATTTGTTGAGATGTCTCTGCAGGGCCTCCCTGCCTTCAAGTGACTCGACGGCTCCTCCAGTTCAATGTTATCAGCAAACTTAAGTAGTATCCCTTCCAGTCCTGCATCCAAATCATAGATGATGATGTTGAAGAGCACAGGGCCCAAGATGGAGCCCTGTGGAACCCCACTAGTGACAGGTCACAATCTGATGTCACTCCAGTCAGTGTCACCTTCTGTGCCCGACTCATGAGCCAACGGCTCCCCTACCACATAATGTGTTTATCCAGCTGTGGGCTGGACAGTTTGTCCAGAAGGATCCTGGGAGAGACTGTCATAAGCTTTACTGAAATCCAAAAGGATTACATCTCCTGTCTTTCCTAGATCAACCAAGTGGGTTACCCTGTCATAGAAGGAAATGAGGTTCAACAAGCAGGACTTTCCCCTCATGAAGCTGTGCTGGCTGTGACCAATGCGGGGTAAAGCAATGGGATTTGGGGTACAAAAGCAGGACTTTGGGTAAAACAGAGGGATTTGGGATAAAACAGTAGGATTTTGGTGTTCCAGGAGTGATTTGGGGCATTCCCTCCCCACCAGCAGGAGGTTTTTGGATGCAGCAGGGTGCTAAGGGGGTGCTGGGGGTGGGGATGCAGGGGTCCCACCTGGTCTCCGGGGGGCCCAGGGGGCAGCAGCCCTTGAGGCAGGTCATGCTCCAGGTTTCGGGCACTGGGGTCAGCCCCCCAGGCCAGGAGCAGCCGCACAAGGGGCTCCTGGCTGGGGGTTCCGGGCAGTGCTGCTGCCATGTGCAGGGGGGTGTTCCCATGGGCCTGGGGGACGTGAGAGGCTCAGGGCACCTCCAAATCATCCTCCAGCCCCCTGAGAGGTACCTCAGAGATCCTCAAGATCTGACACCTCCAGCCA